CTGAAGCAATAAAATATAAATCAATATGGCATTCGCGTGAATGACAAATTTTCCAAAAGAAAGATGGAAAAATCTAAGTGAATCTAATTCTTGAATTCACCTTAACAGCATTTCGGAAAATAGCTTCATTGTTGCGCTAGGGATAACGCGATTCAAATCCGGCCACCTCGCCTCCTCTATTTATCTCTCAAAAGATTGAATTCAATTCGAATTAACCTCCATGGCTAGAATCGTTCTGAGTGGTCTAAAAATGCATCCATGTCGAAAGTCATGGTAAATTGAATTCTTTCATGAGGTATGAGCTAAAGCTTAAGGTGGTTCACTCCTATAACTTTTTCATTATTGTAGGTAGTAAAACGTCAATTGGGGTCATGAATTATAGTTCATTTTATATTATTCGACATATTATCTACTTGCTTTACCGCACTTTTGGTTTAACCGAGGATGGCATTTTCAAACGGGACACCCTGTATTTTATTCCATAATCGGTTAAGGATTATCATAACGAATTCAACGATACTGTGTTTGATAGGATTTCTACAAACGATTAGAAAGATATTCACATTTCCATATCCTCAATGACGAGCATATGAAAACTTCGAATGCCATATCTTCGTAATCGTTTGAAATAACCCTATCCAATCCGGTACCGTTGAATTCGTTATAATAGTTCCTAATTCATTATGGAATAATATACATGGTGTTCTATATTGTTAAGGATATTCAGTAAATATTCCTGAAAAATATCTCATGGATATTTGTGAACAATATCTTATGGATATCCCTGAAAGATGTCTTATGGATATTTGTGAACAATATCTTATGGATATCCCTGAAAAATGTCTTATGGATGTCCCTGAAGGATATCCTATAGAAGTCCAACTCCTTCCACTCGGCACGTCCATTGGACGTCCATAAGATATACATCGGATATCACTGGATATTCTCTGGATATCCCAAATATCCTAAATGGACGTCCAATGGATGTCCATCGAATGTCCGTGTGTTGACTGGGGAGCAGTTGCTTCATGAACTCCCACTGCACGAGCGGCGTAACGTTTACTACGCCCATCGTTTACTGACACAACTAATCTTGCTACTTGTTCAGGATTTATTTGAGGCATTTTATGTAATTTTAGTCAATAAAACAACAAAATAGTTGCTATAGCAATGGTATTTGTTTTTTTGAAGACAATGTGATCCTACCAGAGTACAACCCAATCAATTTTGAGTACTCTTATCCTTCAATAAATTCAATTTGTGGGATGAGCGTAAGGTATCAGCAAAAAAGCTGTAATTCGTAAAATTTTAGAGATAAATCAATGAATAAAAAAACAAAATGCTGGCAGAAGAAGCCTCTTTCGTATAGGGTGTAAGCACTTTGTATACCATTACTCAATTAACACACAGGGTGAGTCAAAAATTAAGAATAAATCATGGTTCGAGTTATTCCACCACCATCAAGGAGGCTTTGAAAAAATGTTCACTTCTTTATTTTTTTCCAAAGACAAATGCATTATATACCAACAAATAAAAAAAATATAAGAATCGGCCTACTATTTTTTTTTTAAGAAGATAGGTCAAATATCAAGTGCGTTTTGGAACTGAGTGTATTCAATTCCTGATCCAATTTACTATGATAATTACCATCTTTCGAATATTCAATTCTCGTAAATATGAAAATTGGTTTCCATCGCACTTGACCGAAATTCTTGAGAACGTGAAGTCTGAATACAAATACTTCATTCTTCGGAAGCATTCAAGTGCGGTAACATGGAATATGAGATTGGGGTTGAATATATTTCCCCGTTTCAAATAGAAGGACGACGTTTCCAAGTGAACTGACGTGAGAACGAATACATTAGGTATTCTAATCTAGTTTAGTCTACAAGTATAACTTCATAACCAATTTCCAATTTATTTTCCGTTTATTGAGTCACTGTTGGAGATCAGTTGTCACTTTCAACTACTTCGTTTATTGTTGAAAACATTTCAATGAATTCATCAACTTTTTTTATACATCCCATCTAGTTGTCAATGGTTTCAGTTGTCAATTTGAAAGCTTCCATTAATGAAACAACTGGAATGTCTTTCTAAGATAGAAATAACAAAGCTATCTGGAATGCCAAGATATCTTTTATCAAATCATACATTTCCTGTTGTATTTTTATCAAGAACACATAGTTTCTATATCGAAAAAATTACTTGAAATTGTCTAAATTACAATAAACAATAGTACAAAGTGATATATATACAGGGTGTATCTTAAATGATGACTTTAATTTCAGGTGGTGATTCCTTGTCATATTTCATGACAAAAAATTCATATAAACGTGTGTCCTAACTTGCTCCGTTTCCGAGTAACGGGGTGTCCAAAGTTTAATGAAAAAAAAAAAAAAACAGGGAAGCTATTATACGAATTATTAACCCCCTATTACTACATCACTGACATTGATTGCACAACGTTCAGCTATTAATTTCCAATAATATCAAACTCAGCAACAACATTAGCGTCCAATAGTTACTATTGTGAATATCAATCAGGTTACCCTCTGCCACACCACTGGAAACAAAATTCAAAATCTACTTTCATGAAAAGAAGCTTCGTATTACAAATCACAAACACACGAAGTTTAATCAAAATCGGCGAACAGTCTTTTGAGTAATTCATGAAAAACCGATATTTCATTAAACTTCGAACACCCCGATACTTGTAAATGGAGCAAGTTAGGACACACGTTTATATGAACTTTTTGTCAAGAAATATGACAAGGAATCACCACCTGGAATTAAAGTCATCATTTAAGATTCACCCGTTATAATAATGTATAATATTTTCATGCAATAAAAAAAAAATCCGATTAAAACAAATTTGACATGCAATTTTCGAACCAACAATGATTACCTATTGAAAATTAAATATTGTTAGAAATTCACTGAGATGTAGAACAAACAACAATAAGTTATTACAATGTTACTCATCAGAACTTGTAACTGAAAATACAATATTGAATATGTTGATGTAGAATCAACAAGATATAATAGTTGATATACCCTACAGATATTGCCTGACGACGCTAAGCTATTTGATGATATAGTGATATCAGCTATTAACTATATGAAGAGAATGTTGTTGAGAAAACAAAAGGGTATAATAAAGTTAACAATTCACTATTGATCTTATCAACAATGTCAATGATGATTGATTCAGTTGACTGAACATGCTTTTGTTAATTCAACTATAAGAAATTGTTGTAGACCTACTGGGACTACAAATTCTTGTTGAATCATCAACTAATTTCCAACAGTTTGTATGGTTCTGTCTGTAGGTTAATCGAGGAGGTGGTAGTACATTCATTATTTCAGATTTTTTGGGATTTTCTCTCCTCGTTCCTATAAAATAAAAATATGAATATTATTTCAATATACGTGTAGTAAGGACAAATCAGATGATGTGCCCCAAAATGTCACTGCGTTTAAAGAATCTTCCTATCAGAAAGCCTAAAAGAAAAATTCACCAGCTTGGCAGTGAAAAAGGTTTGGAGAAGAGAAATAAAGGTAGGTATATAGAAAAAATATCAAATTTTGAGGTTAATTATCTATTGGTCCTTACTGCACGTATATTGAAATAATATTCATATTTTCATTTTATAGAAACGGGGAGAAAAAATCCCAAAAAATCTGGAATGAAGTATGTATGGTATCAGATTATAGATAGAACACACGAGTTATTTGAGAACACTCGTAAGCTCGCTCGTAATCGTCATCTTTCCTCCAAACTATGCCATAGTCATAGCTGATGTGAGCTTATAATAATGGCTACTTAGTTTGATAATCTGATAACCATCAGACGGATATTCAAGGAATCTTGCATCTTGGATATAAGCGGAATTAGAAGTATGATTCAGATTGTGAATGACATGGGCAGTCAGAACAAACTGACTGACATACAGGGTATTAGCAATGAGGGCAAGGAAGAGGCAGATTCATTAGTTCGAGCAGGAGCAAGTAAAGTTCTGAACAGTCCAGAACCAAATCTCAAGAATGGTGGAAAAATTCGCCAGGAATGAAACTGGAAAAGGAGTTTATTAAAAACCCAGCGCCAATATTCACAGAATATTCACTGAGCCAGAAACGAACTCTAACTAGAATACTGGTTTGGCTTCTCACACACTATGAAATTAACTTCTGGTGTACCATTGAGTATTCACACTAGTATATGTGTATATAATCAAGGGGTGTACGCACTTCCTCATTTACAATTCCTATATAGATTTTAAGCTAATGATTATTTTTCTTCCTCAACCTTCCGGCAAACAGTGTAACGGCTGTAAACGGAGTTACTTACGTTGTTTGCCTGCAATACCTGAAACGACTATAGGCATTTCAGGGCATGACGTATTTCATCATATTTATTTCTTTTATGTTATAAGTTCTATCAAAATATAATTCGATCAATAGATATTTCGATCAAATGATGTTCGATCAAATAATGTCGATCAAATGGTTTTCAATCATATTTCCGGCAACCAGGAACAAGCCTGCAATAGCATTTACTCTCCACACGACATTTCAAGTGATTTTTACAGCCTCCAAGAATATGAATTCTCATTTTGCTCTCCTGATGTAATACTCATGCCATATATTTCTCTTTCTGTTGATTTGAATATGATTCGAGTTTTTTTGAGTATCATAATAATTGGGAATAAATCGAGTAGTTATCTATCGATAATATAAACCTAAACTTTTGTCCCACTTCATGTGGTGAGCACCTTATTTCGGTCTGATAATGTAATGTGTATAGGTAATTAAAATAGTCTAACAGAAGTATGATGAATGATGGATCGGTCACTCGATACATCATAATTATTATTATTAATCAACCTTCGCTTGTCAATGGATTTTCTATTTTCGGTCTAAGTACCTACCTAACGAAATCTCGTTATGGAAATGACAAATGTGTTGGACAAAAAATAACATTACAACAATAATCTACTCACCGAACCAAACTTGAAAGCAATCAATGGGCGCACAAGGTCGAACCAATTCGTAATTTTTTTGCCCACCAAGTCCGGTAGAATTACCATCAATGAATTGCCTATGCTCCGAACAACCATATCTGAACTGGAAATAAAAAAAAAGATCATCTAGCTAGGAATCGATCATCCCAAGATACCAAAAATTATGATATACAGGGTGAGTCATTTGTGTGGCAAAGTGAGATAACGACTTTACAGTTTGAGATAGATAGACAAAAGTTCCAGAGATGATCTAGAATCATGAGCAGCACATTTCCAAATCATTTCGCTTTATACAGGGTGACTCAGAAATGCGTGGCGTATCAAAGTTATACTTTTTCTTATGGGACACCCTGTATTCCATTGAATTTTCGCATTCTCCTTTGTGTGCTGATTTCATCAATGCATCACACTTGGGGTCTAGCGAGAATGATTACAGAGATATAGGGTGTTCAAAATCGAGATTTTTCAACTTTAGGATTTTTTTTGCGTCGAAACTATTCATTATTGGTCAAAACGGCTTTCATGTCCCTATCCCAACTTTTGATTTACTATCTACTGATATTTAATTGGAACAGATACAAGAGTGATCAGAATGCTGAATCTTGCTCACTTTGCCACACTAATGACTCACCCTGTATGTACCGGGTGTACTAAGAGAGGACGCCGGCTCCATCTCGGAAACTATTTGCCGCACAGGTTTCTAAAAAAGATATGAATGATGAAAGTGGCCAAGAAAAATCTCTGGAACTTATTTTCAAGTTTCCAGGACAGCCCCTAGATGGCGTAATCGTATTGGCCAGTTTAATAAATGAGTTTTTATGAAAATTTGATATATCAAGACATATCAAAAACACTTTTTTCATATGTTCTCGAGTAGTTCAAAATTCAGAATAATGAACCACTCTGTATTCCTTCAAATTAAATATCAGTAGATAGTAAATCAAAAGTTGAGATAGGAACATGAAAGCCGTTTTGACCGATGATGAATAGTTTCGACACAAAAAACTCATAAATTTAAAAAATCTCGATTTTGAACACCCTATCCCTAACAACACCAGTACATCCTAGGGACTTCCCATGGACGTCCCTGATTTTATACTAGGACATACCAGGGATGTCCTTTGTCGGGACAACGTACATACTAGGGACATCCGCTGGCCGCAAAAAAAGGCATCCAAGGGATGTCCTTCTGGTACGTCCCTGGGATGTACCAAGTACGAAGAAAGGATATCCCTAGGACGTCCCAAGGATATCCCAGGGACATCCCTTCGACAAAAGAAAAAAATGTAGGTCGAATAGGGATAGAACCCGGGACCTTTAGCTTATCAGGCACGCACCTTACTCCATTGGCTATTATGCCTCCTGAAGATTCATGTACTAAACAGATTTATAAACAGGACTTGACTACAGAAACCTGAATACAACTTTGTTAGGATTTGGGTATGATTATTATCATTCTTGGGTGTTTAAAAATGAGGGGCATTATGCATGTACGATTTCTGTTTGCGAAAAATGATCATTTCTTGAGAAGTTCTAAGACTTTATACTTCATTTTCAATATAATTATTTTCCGAAAAAAAAAACAAACATTTTCAAAAAAATTCAACTCAATAGTTTTATGAAATTCAATGACTGATGTGAATGGATATCAGATAATCCAAGGACACGAATAGGATAACCTAGGGATGTACCTGGCGGGATGTCCACTGGACAACCACTGCGGGACATCCCCTGGATGCCCCAATCATGTCCTTGTACCGCGGGACAAAAAAGGGACGTACCTAGGACATCCTTGTGTTGTTAGGGATATCTCTGTAATCATTCCCGCTAGACAGCAAGTGTGATACATTGATGAAAGCAGCTCTTCAGGGAGAATCTAAAAATGCAATGGAATACAGGGTGCTCCATTTGAAAATCGAGAGTTGATGCCCGTTACGCTTCAAGATTTCAACTTTTGAATATAATAATTATTATCGTAGGAAAATGTGTCCCCCGCCATATTGAAATCGACCTGTCCGAGCAATTCTCAATTTCTTTAACGACATCGAAGATTAGGGGGATGACAAATTTTAGCTGGAACACACTGTATATGATTTCTTTTAATTTGTTTTTATATCAATCAGAAAAATGTTTTCTTGCTCACCCAAAAACTATGCAAAACGGAAAAATTTCAAAGAGGACCGAGGCACTGATGGGCAGATGTTTTTCTTCTCTCGTCATCGCCAACGAAGCTAACGTGAAGGCCCTATTGTCGAATGTTAGTTGGAATGTCACGTGCACCATGTCGAACAGCAGCTCTTCTCTCACCAACTCTATTTTCATTTCCTTGTGATAAAAATGTCGGGCTACCTAAAAAATATCGTATTGTTATGCCGATTGTTTCAATTACGAGAAGATTGTGATGGTAAGGTATTACCTGACTTCAATGTGGACACAATGGGCGTGTACACCTTAGTAGAACTTTTAACTCAAACCATGCTTATAATGATCCTTTTATACATAAATAATAATTGACGACATAATTCGATCGAAAAATAAACTGGAATGTTTTATTTTTGGACATAAATAATAGTACCTTCTGAAAACGGACCCTCTTATGACGTAGAAACCTCATCTCGCCATAGTTAAAAGAAAATACCAAACGCCCGACGGAGACTGAGGCAACTGACATATTGATTCTTTCAACTGTGATCTCGCGCTAATTCACTCAGTCAGAAATGTAGTCTTGTTTCAGTATTAGGGTTTTGACGTCACATCATCGCCTCGTTTTCAGAGGTCCGAAAAATCGGGAATTTCAATAATTTTTCATAAAACGTAGGGAGCTCACAGCAAGAAACGGTTTGCGGTGGTGAGCTAGTTTGGGTGAGTTCTATCGAATTATGAAAAAAAAATGTTTTGTGATATAAGCCCATTCAGTAATTAGGAAAGCAACACTTGTAATCAGAGTATGTGCTCATATGAATCGCATTAGCCAGGGAAGCAGTTATTTTTCTATCGTTATCATCCAAGTCGGGTAAAATTCAGGTAAAAAGGTGCCTCTTTTACTACTTTTGAATAACAACATTGAGTACCTATTCACATCACAATCAAGGATAATAAATAGTGAATAAATAAAAATAAATAAATAATATGATGTTAATCAGATTTGAGAGATTGTCAATTCCAAATTTCGAAGGATTTTCATTTTTCATGCCCTCCTTTTGGATCCCATGTTCGACGTGGCAAAGAGCCGCTAGAACAGTACGTAGTTATTTTCTGTTGAGTATTCAGAATGATGTTATGTGTATATACAGAGAAGTGCACAAAAAACGGCCAGTGCAGTATCTTCTTAGATCGGAGTTCGGAGACAGAAGATTCTGAAAATTTGGATGCTTTGATAATTGAACATTCTCTATCCGTCTGAAATATTTTCATCAATACAGTGTTGCCACTTCTATCAGAAACAACTAGCAACTTTGTTAGTTCAAATAAAACACCCTGTATTTCATTGCATTTTTAGATTCTTCCTGAACAGCTGATTTCATTGATGTATCACACTTGGGGTCTAGCAGAAATGATCACAGAGATATAGGGTGTTCAAAATCGAGATTTTTCAATTTTAGGATTTTTTTGTGTCGAAACTATTCATCATCGATCAAAACGGCTTACATGTTCCTATCTTAACTTTCGATTCACTATCAACTAACATTTAATTGGAACAGATACAGGGTGATCAGAATTCTGATTATTGAAGCACCCTGTATTTTTTCCAATTAAATGCCAGTAGATAGTGAATCAAAAGTTATGATAGGAACATGTGAGCCGTTTTGATCGATTATGAATAGTTTCGACACAAAAACATCCTGAAATTGAAAAATCTCGATTTTGAACACCCTATATCTCTGTAATCATTCCTGATAGACCCCAAGTGTGACGCATTGATGAAATCAGCTCCTCAGGAAGAATCTAAAAATGCAATAAAATCCTAATGCCTCATTCAAAATAACGAAGTTGCTAGATGTTTCTGATAGAAGTGGCAACACTGTATCGATGAAAATATTTTAGACGGATAGAGAATGTTCAATTATCAGAGCATCCCAATTTTCAGAATGTTCTGTCTTTTCGTTCTCCAGATACTTCTAATAGGCCATCCACCGTGGATCACCCTGTATACACTAATAATTCCAGAATGTATGAACCATAAATTGACATCTGAATAAACATCGACAGGAAGTGTTCATAGAAACACTGGCAGTGCATCTGACTATCCTTTTCTGAGTTATGAAAACATATTTCATAGAAGATGAGCTACCCCAAATCAAAATGCCGTTTGTCAATACAGACTGAATTTGACCATGGTAAAATAATAATGTGTCTCATTGTTCAAAACAGTTGTCGAAACCCTGATCTGGTAGCATTTCATATTCAAAGTTTTCATGATATTATCACAATGTGTTTTAAACTTCGAGTTACTGTCCAAAGTGAGCCCTAAAACTATACCTTTTAAACTTCAATTTCGGAATCGGTGAGTTATATTTCGGAAAAAGTAATGTCGATTTCAGAATTGGTTAGTTCGATTTCAGAAATGGTAAACTCAATTTCAGAATCGGTGAGATGAATTTCAGAAAAAGTCCATTCAATTTCAGAAATGGTAAGTTGTATTTCAGAATTATTATTGGTAGGTTCAATTTCAGAAGATGAAATCCTTTTATATGTTTGAAATGTTTTTAATTGCAAAAGAGAAGATTGTTCACAGTGGATGGGAACGGTGTTTGAGAGCCCTATGTTGAATCAGAATGAACATATATGGGGTGCCTTCAAGTCAGAAGTGAAGAGCTTCTTACAAGAGCATCGCAAAAGGGTCATAGCTGGAGATCCGAACAGATTGCTCAACCAGATAGAATTCAGGCTGCGATGTCTTGAAGAATGTGCAGATCATTCAATGAAAATGATAACACCTCAAATGTGTTTGCATTCTACCACCAATTCTGAAATACAGCTTACCATTTCTGAAATTGAATGGACTTTTTCTGAAATTCATCTCACCGATTCTGAAATTGAGTTCACCATTTCTGAAATCGAACTAACCAATTCTGAAATCGAGATTACATTTTCCGAAATATAACTTACCGATTCCGAAATTGAAGTTGAAAAGGTATAGTGCTTCTGGCTTCTGGAGTAGATTCTTCGTTGCCATTATTGTCATGTACGATAAATCCAACTGAATGGGAGTGGAAGTTCACTGTTAACGTTCCTCTCGGATTTCATTTTACGCACAATACCATCTCTGATGTCAAGACGTGTTTTCCTATTCCAAGTTAATACGAGATTCTGTGACGTGCTCATGTATTTGATTCCCGATGGAATTAATTACAATCGCAATTATAACGAGATGTGAAAGGGGATATCTGATGTTTGTTGATTCGAAAACCAATAAGAGAAGGAATTCGGGATCAATTCAAAAATAATTAGAAGTGGAACTCACTGTTCCATATTCCATCCCATCACGATAGAACATTGTTCTATTAGGATCAAATGTGACGCTTTGTTTGACAAGTGATATTTGCGTTCGCGAAGCCGAGCACGCAAATTTTGCAAGTCAAACAGAGTCACTTTTGATCCGAATGAAACATGCAATTTTTTCTGCAATCGAAATATATGGGTGGAGTTTCCACTATTTTGAGTCTTTTGAGCATGTCAATGTCAAAGCAGCTATCATATCAGCTGTCATCCGACACGCTTTTAGTTCCTAGGAGTCAAACTTCAACTTTAGCTCCCAGAAACTAGAACCTAGAAAGTGTTGCCTAGCAAGATTAATACTGATCGTTTTATTGTGTCAGTAAGAGAAACGTCAACTTCAAGAGCTAATTTTGGAACAAAAATGGACGACTTTTGAGCCGATTGCAGAAAAACATTATTTTTATGTCGGGAAGCAATCCATTATTTCATCAATAAAATGTGTTTGAGAAAAAAAGAATGAGTAAGAAATATTTCCCATCATGTTAATTCTTTACTGAAAGAATAGTGATGGTTTCTGGGACAGGATCTTTTGAAGCATATACCTTCACCGATTTTTGTTTCATCATTAAACACAAATATGTAAACGAATTATTATTTTTTTCTGGGACGAAAAAAAGTTTTACATTTCATCTCTGTTGACAGGTTATGAAATTTCACTTTTCATGAATTACTTTTTTGCCACGGAAAAAAAGTTAGTACTTGTGCAACTGTGGATCTTGTCCTGAGGTATATATCGGTCAGACAGGTCGTACGATTAATCAGCGCATTCATGAACATAAGGTGAATTTTTTGAAAAACCATAGTTTTCATGATTATTTCTAAATTCTACACGTAGAAAATAAAGGAATGAAAACCCAATCATTTTGAATCATTAAATATCAACAACCTCAAAAATTCAGACATTTTTATAGACCTCAATAGTTCACCACTGTTGAATTTGTTTTCTTAGTAAGTAATAATATGTATTTGATATCAACCCTTTCAAGTTCATTCGGTACACCGTATTTTAATGTAGATATTGTTTATCGACCCTGTCCATAGGTAACTAATCCTTCAGGTTGGGAGATTAGGATATACAGGGTGTTTAAAAAACCCTAACCTCGTTGCTAGGGTAGGTAGAACATTGCAAAATAAGTTGGGTTTACTCAGTGAAAAAATATCGTAACAGCATTTTCGAATCGAAATATCCCGAAAACGGTACACAGAATCAAGTTTTACCAAGAGCACCTTTTTAGTGTAAAATTGAATGATGTTCAAGTTCACATTAAATTTGGAGTGAAAAATCTAACCTCAAAAAAGTTATGTTTAAAAGTACTCGGTACGAACCGTGTAACTAGCGCCCTCTATGAGTGTCAGATATAAAAACAAACTCATGCGATGTGTCAGCTTTCAGAACACATCCATATAAAATTTCATTACAATGTTGCCAGTAGTTTCAACATAATCGTAAAAAATGTGTAAAAAAAATATTTTTTCAACACCTCGTATCTTGAAAACGGATTGCTCTACGGCACTTTTTTACTGAGCAAACCCAACTTATTTTGCAATGTTCTATCTACCCTAGCAAGGGGCTTAGTTTTTTTTTGAAACGCCCTGTATAAGCAAGCCAAGGTTATTTTAGTTCATCGTACCAGTATATCACCTGACGAAGCTACTGTGTTAGCGAAACATGTCGTGTGTTTGAAAATTTTGTGGAAATCTTATCGTTTGTAAAGTTTTTAGATTTAGGTTTTGTCATGTGCCTTACCTCCCTGATTTGCCCCATCGTGTAATAGACGAACCCCCTTCTTTTGCTGCGGTAGTGCAACGTCAAGCCCTGCTTGGTCTCGTTTTCGCAAATGAAACTGGGAGCGCGCATGCGCGGATACGAGAACTTGAGGTATTCGTGCAGATTATCCAGGCCGTTCAGGAAGTCTCGCATGTGGCGCCCCAGTACGGAGAGCACCCTGTCGTATCCGTATTGGCTCACGAAGCCAATGAAGAAGACGCCCATCTGGTCGAAAAACTCGCGCTCGCTCACATTCAAAATCTGAAACATGCCGATTGGTATACCTTCATTTTTTCCAGATTTTTTTGGGAATTGTTCTCCTCCTTTCTATGTAAACTGCCTGACAAATGAATATTTCACTTTTTTTGTTGTTGTTGTTTTTTTTATCGCTTGGAGCGCACGAAAGGAAATCCCTATAATGTTCAAAGAACATCGTGCGTTCCTAGGGAGGATAGGGACAGGAGGTAGGTATTGGATTTTTTTGAACTTCTGGAGATTATATGTTGTTGGGAATACTTCCTCAGGCAATGAATTCCAGAGCCTAGTCGTTCTATGGATGAAGGAGTTTTGATAAAGTGCTGTTCGACATCTTTCGAGGTTGACAACGAAAGGATGTGCTGACTGGGCTTGTCTAGTTCGTCTTACTGGTCTTGCTAGTGAAGGGATGATAGCAGAGATTTCTGAAGAACATTTTCAGTGGAAGTATCGATAGAAAAGTGAAAGGTCGCCGACCTTTCTACGGTTTCCAATGATGTCAAAGAGTGGGTGAGTGTGGTGTCACCCACCAGGCGAATGGCTCTTCTCTGGATGGAATCTAAGAGCATCAGCGTATGTTTTGGTGCTGAACCCCATATGTGGGAACAGTATTCTAGAACAGACCGTATCTGCGCTTTGTAGATCATGAGAAGCTGTTGAGGTGTAAAGTAGCTTTTCGCACGGAACAAGAATCCGAGTTTTTGTACGGTTTGTTCCATGTTGTGTAATATTCGTTCAAGAATGAGATGCGACCTACTCTGCCCATGAAATTCCTGTTTTCAGATCTACAGGGGGAAACATTGACCCATTACAAAAATGAATATTTTCAAAGTTATCCCAATCATATGGAAACATTTTCGGATTTCTTTCTAGGGCATATTATGAATGCTTGATGTGTTTTGCCAAAATGGTTTCGAAATTTTGTCGCTAGCATACTTCATCAACATTCAACATCTTTTTTATGGAAAATTGACGTTTATCTGAAATTTCCTCAATTTCAGCTGATCTGTTTATGAAAAAGGAGAGTTTTTTCATGAAATCGATTCAGGAAGGAATTCATCACTTCAATTTCTTTGAATTTAGCGAATATCGATCTACAGGGTAATTCGAGATACCAAAGAAACGTGAAATTCAGTCATGCATATTGTGATTTGAATTTTGAATGCTCCGAATTCCTGTTATCATTCTTGATGTCCTGATGGCATGTTAACAGAATGTTTTCCCGAATATTGAAATCATTATACCATTCAAGAACAATCCGACCTTAGCCTATATCCCAATAGTTATGACTCACCATGTATAGAATATGCATCGTAGTACCTACCATGTTTGTGACAGTTAAAAATAACGTACAGTCTTATTATTTCATTTTCTTCCACCTGTATAAATATAAATCCTTAGTTACTATTTGTAGTATTTGTGCTATATTGGTCGATATTTCCGTCGGTTGGGAAGTGCCGAATTCCAAAATAACTTTTTCTCCAAATGACATTGGGAGTGGATTTTTGGTGACAACAGACAGGCATGAAAGGTTTACTTTTACTGCCTAAGCAAAGAAATTTTGTTTCGATGCAACGTTCCAAGTATTAATTCGAATCAAATTGGAAATCAAAATTGACAAATGACCTTGGACACAAAAAAATGATGAACTATTTGGACTCTGCATTATATTGGAACGAATTTGGAGAAAAAAATATACAGAGTGTTTCAGAGTTCTGGTGACAAAAGCCTAGGGAAGATTTCTCTCGACAAAATATGTAAAAAAGTTGAAATGAACATAGGTCCGAAAATGTTTACTTTACAGAGTGACCAAGTTGAAAAAAAATCTTGAAAAGGCTTGAGCCGATTTGAATATTTTTTTAAATTTATTTAAACAGTTATCTGACATTTACTGGACCATTTAGATTTAATTTAAAATTTCCAGGGGCGTACCCATCGAGCAAGTCGGCTTTTTTTTATAGGATACTATACTCGACAGATCTCTGGACTCCATAAGAAAAAATAAAAATGCCATATTATCCAAAAATGTATTGCACATTAATAAAATATGAAAACAAAGAAGACTTGAAATTCAATACCATCTCTTAAATGTATACGATATTAAAATTTTGTGAGAAATATTTCTTCAAGCCACTGATGATATACTTATTTTTTCAAAACACCCTATATCTCGGAAACGAAGCATTTACGAACCCATGTTCTTATAAACTTTTCTTTATATTTTGTTGATATCTCACCACAACTCTGAAAAGAAGATTCTAGTGCTTTTCTTCCTAGTAAAACAAATGACTATTATCATCAGATGAATACTGTCATCAATGATTGAAAAATCGGGAGACAATTTTGGACCTCTCTGTATATCTTTTGGGTTGTGGAATCTTTGTTACCGACGAAAAATTGCCACTCATTTCATCAAAATATTCTTCGCACGATCATATTATATGGTCGATTGAATTGATTTTTTATTCTGCACGTTGTTTAATGAAAAATAACTGGAAACAATGTCCAAAATGTAATCAGTTGATTCAGGTTTTCAGTAACAATTTACATGTTCCTAAAGAAGGAATAAAGGCGAATAAAAATCCAATGATAAAACTCACTTCAGGAATACTTCATGAATGGGATATATAATTGAATACTCCTCTATGTGAGAGACTTCTCATAAAAAAAAGTTTTCGCATTGTTCGCGGAGGAAGACATACACGAAAATGTATAATAAACAATAAACGCATTCCTCAGTTTTGTACTCCTATTTTTGATGTTCCAGGTAGATGCTATCAGATAATAATTCCGAACGATAGGTACAATATGGCTCACCTTTGATTATACACTCACCGACAAAAAACCGGTCAGAAAAAAGATTTGCACCACATTAATCGCCCTGTAACTTTATGTTTCGGAATGTTAGCATGAATTCAAGATCCTAAGAAAATCTGATGGCTTGATCATTATTCAGAAAAAAAAAACGATAAGGGCAATTACCTGCACGGCTTTCTTCGACAATCTTGGAATGAGTCCTTCGGGATATACTTGGTGAGTACTGAAACTCGGTTGATCTACGGCGGCAGCCCTGCGAATTTCCTCCCATTTGTCCTCGCCGTAAGTTTGTTTTATGAACTCCGACATGTTCTCTATAATCAGACCGTACATGACCGTGCATTTGATGTCGATTTTAGATCCTCGTCTGTCTGAAAAAGATTTCCATTTATCGAAATTTACTCTGCGAAGTCATACATATCAAGTTTGATGCCAGAGATTCAGATCATGAATTCCGAGAAATTTTGATGATGTCAGTGAATGAATCTCGAAACCAGAATCATCAACAAAATTTCTCGTAAGCCCGTAAAATAAAATGTTGAAATTTGGATCACCTTTTTCACGTAGAAAAATGATGATATATTATAATGGCATGTCAAACATTCGAAACAAAATTACTTATACAAAAAAATTTTAGACTTGTTAAAGTGATTGAATCAATCTCATTCTTCCTAGTTCTGTATAATATTCCGAAAACATCTGATCAATTATTATAAAATCTGTATGATCTTTCGTTTCTATCCATTGAGCGATTGAGCAGTGTCAGAATGCAATATTTTATCTGTGGCCTGTGTTGGTGCTGTAACTCCTTCTCTGAGGTAATATTTTCGGACTAATGTAGAAATTTAGATTTTTTTCTTCTTTTTGTCTAGGGCCTAGGGAATATTAGATTTTTCCCAAAGTCTTCTACGGAAAATGAGAAACAAATCGAATCAAGCCAATTGAAATGATTGAAATCCTCGTGGTACGGGGTGTCTCCGTATATTGTGACCCCCACATACAGCTTTACCTATACGAGGTGGAAAAAAACTTCAGATATGAGAATTTAATCAAAGTTGCCAATAATACTTATCAGAGGCTGTGGACACAACAGAAATGCCCTGAAAACAAAAAATGTATTTTCTGACATCTCTGAAGTATATACAGGGTGATTCAGGTTTTATATCTTACATGTTTCTCTCAAATTTCATTCTTGGACAAAATACGTTGAGAATGCAATTTTTTCATCTTTTTCATCTCTTGGAGCGCACGAAAGGAAATTTCTATAATGTTCGTGGAACAACGTGCGTACCTAGGGAGTAAAGGGAGAGGAAGTAGGTGTTGAGAAGAATTCCAAAGCTTCGCCGTTCTATAGACGAACGAGTTTTAGTGAAAATGAAATCATTTCAAAATGTCAATCAGGAGTGTATAATACAGGGTGGGACTACTTAAATATAGCTCAAATTTTTTCTGATGCATTTTTTTCGACAATTTAATTTCGGATTATGAAATTTCACACCTCTTTACGGACAAAAGGTACTATTGTTTCGTGACGATCAGGTGTATTATTATGGAGTTATAGCAATTTGAAAATATTGTTACATCTCAGATGATATGCATAACATTGCAATGAGGCGTAGTGGAAATGGGAAAAAATGCACAAGAATAGAAGTAGTTTTTTCATAATAATTTTTTAATTTTTCGCGCTATTATGAGATTGTTTGGTAGAAAGAAAGTACTGGATTTTTTATAGCCGCTATGATTTGAAAATTGGCAACGTTATGCATAATATGTGAGTGCATCAATATTTTTGAATCGATTTCACTCGAGAATGGTACATCTGATCGATGAAACGGTGTGGATTTTCATAATCCGAGATTTAATTGTCAAAAAATATGCATACGAAAAAGTTTGAGCAATATCTGATGTATTCCCACCCTGTATTATACACTCCTGAATGAAACTCTGGAATGATTTTATGTTCACCGCATTGGGCATGGAAAGTTTAGTTCTTGAAGAGAGAGCGTCTATATTTCCGAGACCATTACGCCCCTGTCAAAAGATAATATCCGATGGACCAGTCTAAAACTCAACATGATATGTGGATTTGAGACCACCACATGAGTTTCACACTGGTCCATCGGATATTATCTTTAGACAGGTGCGAAATATTCTCAGAAATATTGACGGTTTGCCACTATCTTAGATGAGTTTGAATCGCGGCACGTTTGGATTTTGGCGAAGGGTACATTATCCTCTTTTATTTGCTTTTGGTTTCAACTCCTTATCACATGACGAAAGTATATCTGTTATAATGGCAACAAATAAATCGCTGAGCAGTGGATTTGACCCAGAATAAGAATTGGTACCTATAAGGAATTTCTCCGAAGTGAATTTGTTTTCGTTCTATAAACATAATATAACCTCACAAGTTTGTCCTTGCAAACCTAGTGCGATATGTGTTCAAATATTCAGGTGACATTTTCCCAAGAGTGACATTTCAAATTCAATTTGTATATGCGAATAGGCGCCTCTTTGGCAACAAGTAAATTAACTTGCACATGCAACGTGCAAAGTAATACAATACAAAATATAAAGAAAATAGTTGATTGAATGTATTCCTTCAATGAACAGTGAAATAGGATTACTGTTAGGTATACATTCAGAGAACTTTCATAAAACTCACTTATCTGAACGAGTTACCCCATGGAATGTTCGAAATTGTATCATTTCGAAGTTTTTGATACCTCAACACAGTTCAAAATTTATCGAAGAGTCGCGTAGGTAAATGATCTTCGGTAATCACTTATTTTTATTCATAGGATGTAATTTCTGATGTTAGGCTGAGGATGGACATATACGAAACTAGTTCCAATTTTAAATGATGTGTTATCACATCAAATGTTGTGGAGATGTATATCATTTAATATTTAGTCGCCCATATATTGTTATTAGTAAAAAGGTATTCGCGGTAGTAAATGTCCTCATCTGACGTTGCGATGAGATGAAAAGTAAGGAAAAACATTCCTAATTCCTGGTAGATTGACAGTTAGACATATTTTCCCGTAATTTTCATGTCATCGCCATATCCGATGATGACCTTGACTACCGCGAATACCATAAATCGGATGAGGGATTATAGATAGAGCTAAATCATACAGAAAGTTCGAATAAACTTTTCTCTGATTATTTTTTAACAAAATATAGGGTGTTTGGTATCGGCTTAAATTTATTTTACTTTAGTTAGGTACCAAAAAGCAGCAATATTCAAAACATGAACAAAAAAATAAGTTTTTTCTGTGACGGAAACAGAGTTTAAAATTTCATCTCTGCTGACAGGTTATAAAATGTAAGTTTTCATAAATTACTTTTTTCGGACGGGAAAAAAGTGAGTACTTTTTGCCCGGATATACAGGGTTATGATAAAGTCATGCACAAAATTCATAAAACGTATGTACAACGATCACTTTTAAAAAAAATGCAAAAACACGTCAAACTATTTTTTTTATTCCGCATCTTTTGACATAAGTTACAAAAATAACACGTCAAAGTTGTCAAAAGTATGACGTCATCAACAAATTTTTTTAATGGGGAGCTTAGATTTTTATTACATTGATAGAACTTGTGTTTTTACACAAGGGAAAAATAGTTGCAGTAGGGCTCACAAAATGTAATAAAAATCTTAGCTTCCCATTAAAAAAATTTGTTGATGACGTCATAACTTTGACAACTTTGACGTGTTATTTTCGTAACTTATGTCAAAAGATGCGGAATAAAAAAACAATTTGACATGTTTTTGCCTTTTTTTCAAAAGTGATCGTTGTACGTTTTATGAATTTTGTGCATTACTTTATCATAACCCTGTACATATGCCAATAACACCGTCTCCAAGAAAGAACCGCAAGTCCATTTATCCTTCATTCGACTTTGCAACTTTTTAAAATCAAATCACAGAATTAGACTGACAGATATTTGATTACTTCAAAAGGATGATAAAAATACCTGCGAAAAGGTGCCTGCAACAATCTATGCTGCAACGATGGTGTCATTACTATTAAGAACTTCGAATTTCATGTCGATAATTTTCTGATTTTTATAAACAGTAATATTTTTTCAATAATGATTCGTCCTTTTTCCTGTCATAGAAAAAAATAATGTTTTGTCTCCCTCCGCTACACGTCGGAAAACAACACAACCTGGAGATAAAATCTACAACTTCTTTCCCTTGTATATAATAAATAACTATTATTTCAATTCAGGAGGAAGATTTTTTTATATCGAAGAATAACAGTACAAAAGGTAACTATGGAATATACGGCGTTGAATACTTCCGTTGTATCCAGGATTTTCTCAAAACTTACAGATTTCAGAAAAAATAGATAGAAAACTACAAAATCATAGGTGTGTTTTTTTGGTTTCCCACTGGTGGAAGTAGAATTGACGACGAATGAAACGATGCATTTTGAGAGTTGTGACATTCGGCTAATATTCTTTAGGTTATATAATAGTTATTTATGTATTAAGGGAATTATGAGGGCCTTTATTACCGATGGCAAAGTTTGCGTCCCGAGGGCCTCTGGCCCGAGGGACAGCAATTGCCTGAGGTTATTGAGGCTCAGTAATTCCCGTGATACATAGATAATTTTATTTCTGACTGATTTCATTCATTAGATACCTTCCCGATTGGAAGTTAGACATGTTTTTCCGTATAGTTTCAATGTCATCATAACGTCAGATGATGATCTTGACTACCGCGAATAGGAGATTCCTTATTGCTACGTTACTGCGTGGTTGTTGCTATACATTTCTTATTTAATTTTATTTAGAGGGAATTATAGCATCTATAACATCCCAAGGGAGTTATGACCCTCATAATAGATATCGTAACTATGACGATATAAGCTTATAATGTCACTGTCAGAAATAATAATAGTATTATATCCGTGCATAATTATAATCATAATTTAGAATGGATTTTGTTCCCGCTTTCTTGTTATCCTCCTTAGTAGTTGCATCGGTTACAAGGCAAAATACATTGATAATTATTGATGAAATTGACCCCTTAATACTTGAAAGGATTTTTATAATTGTATGAGTCTACAGGAATAATTGACTAAATTTATGTTAATACTTTCAGATATTCTAGCAATAGCATACCAATAATTCAAACTTATCATGAAGAGGTTATACCGCAAATGGATTTGTAAACATTCATAAGTAATTTCAGGTGTCCAGAAGTGTTTGAAAGTATTCTGGGTAGAAATGCGAACAATTCCGAAATATTTCCTGTGCCAAGTTCACTTTTAGACAATTTTTAAGTCAGATATTGAGGTTAGAGTATCTGAATTTTGCAATACCGCCATTTCATACACTCCCTCCACAATCATCTTCC